CCGGGAATGCGTCTGTATAGACCCCATTTATGCACACCCTGGCCGTGGGGGACGAGTAGAGGGCCTCTATCCACTGGCGCATGTGGGTCCCCAGGCCAACATGCTCCAGTACCGAGAACAGGTAGTCCCACGCCACCCTATCGAAGGCCTTCTCCGCGTCCGTAGAGAGGAGGAGGAGGCCCTTCGAGGAGCGCTATGCGTGGTGGATCAGGGAGAGGGCCCGGACCGTATTGTCCTGGGCTTCCCTGTGGGGGACGAATCCCACTTGGTCAGGTGAGATTAAGTCTGGTATGTGTGGATTCAACCTTGTAGCTAGTATTTTAGCGAATAGGCGTAGGTCGCAGTTAAGCAACGATATCGGTCGGTAGCCCCCGTTCGGTATCTCCCCCCTCCTTCGGCAGCAGGACAATATTAGCCGCTAGTGTTTGCTGGGGGATAGTATTTCCCTCTGTTATAGAGTTGAAGGCCGAGATAAATTGGGGGGACAATGTGGCCAGGAAGGTTTTATAGTATTTGAGAGGGAGGCCGTCTGGGCCTGGGCTTTTGCCGGTCTTCGAGGATTTGATGGCTAGGGCCAGTTCCCCCTCCGTAAGGGGCGCCTCCAAAGCCTCCGCTGCATCCGAGGAGAGTTTAGTTTTAGTGTATTTAGTGAGGTATGCGTTCATGCGGGTCAGTCCCACGTTAGGGTCCGCCCGAGGGGCGTGGGGGGGAATCGCGTAAAGGTCTGTGTAGAAGCGGGTTACAGCTGTAGCGATTTGATCTGGCATGTGGTGTAGTTGGCCTGCGGCGTCGCGCATGCGTGCAATATATGTCATGGAGCGTTTTTTGTTGATCATTCTGGCCAGCAACCTGCCGCACTTATCCCCTTCTGTGTAGAAGAATGATTGCCGCAGGGTCCGTGCTAGTTCTTCACGGGCTGCTATGAGTTCCCCGAGAAGTGTGTCGTCTAGTGTGTGCTTGTGGGCCTGTGTTAGGGTCCCTATCTTGGCCGTTAGTTCTCGGATCGTGTGGTCCCGTGCCTTCTTCAGGTCAGAGGAGTGTGAGATGAGAATCCCTCTCATCACACACTTGTGGGCCTCCCATGTCAAGAGGGGGGATGTGTCCTGTGGTAAGTTCTCGGTGAAGTAGTTTGTCAGGGCTTGTTGTACGTCTTGGGCCACCTGCGGGTTGGATAGGAGGTTTTTGTGGAGCCGCCATGTCGTGGTTTTGGGTTTGTGTAGTGGCGATGTAAGTTGGATTGTGAGTGGTGCGTGGTCGGACCACATGGACCCCCCTATGGCAGAGTCCTGCAGTCTGGGTAGATAGTAGTATGGCAGAAAGAAGTAGTCGATGCGTGTGTAACAGTCATTCGGGGTCGAGTAGAAGGTGTAGTCCCTAGCTGTCGGGTGTGTCGCCCTCCAACAATCTGTAAGCCTGTACTGATGGAGAAGTTTACGAATTTTAAGCAGTGTGGGGGGGGGTGTCGATGAGTGGCCCCTGGATGCGTCCATTGTCGGGTGTAGAGCAATGTTGAAGTCCCCACCCAGGACCAGACAGCCCGTCGTGAAGTCGTGGAGGGCCCGGAGTGTGTCCCGGAGGAATCTGTCCTGTCGTGTGTTTGGAGCGTAGATGTTGGCAAAGGTATAGGTTTCCTCCAGGATTTTACCCCTAACGAATACGTATCTGCCCAAGTTATCAGTCATGGTCGAGTCAGCTACAAAGGGTATGGATTTGTGTAGGAGTATTGCTGTCCCCCTAGATTTCCCATCTGGGTTATTGCTGTAGAAGCCCTGGGTGTATATATGGTTGCAGAGTTTCGGAGCAGCGTTGGTTTTAAAGTGGGTTTCTTGGAGGTAGACCACATGGGCTCTAGTTTTCTGACTGAGGCGTAGCGCATGTGACCTCTTTTCGGGGGAGTTTAAGCCCTTGGCGTTTAGGGATAAGAAGTTGAGTGGGGCCGGTGCGTATTTGGGTGCGGGTGTAGCCATAGTGTCAAGTCCCGTGGGTGTCGAAGTTGCCCCGGTCAGTGGGGGCCTAGGTAGGTAGAGCCCGGCCCAGGGGCAAGCGGGGCAGAGCGGGGGAGCGGACGACTCCGCACGACGGAGCGCAGAGGGGGCCGCCCTCGCAATGGAGCAGAGGCACCGGTGTCAGGGGGGTAGAGATCCCCCGGCCCGGAGACCGGAGTGGGGGATGACCCCCCCTATACAGTAGACACCGACCTCACGGGGAGTGGAAGGCGCCTTGTCAACCCGCCAACAGCGGCGGCTGTGGATCAAAACAAACACCAACAGGTGTAACTTAAACCTGTGAAAACTGCTGTCGCGCCCCGGGGCGAGTCTCCCAGGGTACGGTCGAGTACCAACTGTAACTGTAACCTGTTGTGTGTCTGCAGGGACTCGCACCCGGGTCCCGACGTTGTCCTGTCTGAAGGGAGGATGTACTAGCCTACCCAGGGCGTAACCCCCTGTCTACTGTGCGGGTGTTTAGGGTGTTGGTGGACCCCCCCTCCCCCCAACCCGTTCCCCCTATGCGCATCAGTGTAGCCCCGTGGTGGCGTTTCTCTGTCCCCAAAAGTGGTCTGGAAAGCCTGTGTCCCCCCGAATTGCGTCCCGGTTAACGGACCCCCTTGTGGGTTCCCCCTTCAGTGTAGTGGTGGGTTGTGTCGCTCTGGTTGCGGCACGTCTCTCGGTTGTGTACGCGGGTGCTCATACCATATTGCGTATAGAACTGTACCCAGGTGTAGCGTGGTCTAGCACCTATCCAGTGTTGCATGCGAACCCCTAGACCCTGGGAACTTGCGCGTGCGTCGACCCTGTGGTATGAGTGATAGCCAGGCGTGGGACGTGCAGGAGCATACGTCGTGTTGTACCCCGTCCCATGGTGCTAGTGGCGTGTGCGGGTGTGTGCGCAGGGTAACATGTGTACCAAGGAGCACTGTGTTAGCCTGCGCTGGCAGATCTACACATATATACACATTCACATATATACACAGTATACACACAATAGTTCATGTAGTGCAGTATACCAGTCTAACATAAGCAGGCGCATACACCATATTATACAGATATAAAGCAAGGGAGGGTACTAAAGGGCATGTCCAAAAGGGAGCCCCACGAATAGGAAGACCTACGGACAGCTCCTAGGAAAAACATATCACGTTATATACAATGCAATGGACAGTTTGAGCATGCGCGGACGTGCATATGGGGCTATACACCCCCAGGGAGCAGTTTGAGCATGCGCTGACACATTTACAGCGGTTAATGTAATGCAGGGGACAATTGCGGCGTGTGTGGGCGGTTATGCCATGGTACCTGCTCTGCGATGAGCAGTTGTAGGGATGGCAGGCTCAGAAACAGTGGTGTGCAGCGGGGGGCGGGGCAGTCGTGACCTGTGCGTGCGGGTGAGATGCAGCGCCGCGGATAGTTATAGAATGCGCTGGCACATAAGCGGTGGGCAGTTGCAGCATGCATGGGCGCGTGTGCCACAGAGACAGTGCAGTAGGTGCTCCCAGCGGGCCAGTGTCAACATTGGCGGACAGTACCATGTACCACAGTCCCAGGGGCCACATCCCCCGCCCCACCCCATCGGGGCAGACTGGGCCCCCATATCTGGCTGTACGTGAGGTGTGACTCAGCAACTGTCCGCCCGGCATAAGGTGCAGTTCTGTGGAGCGGGGGGACATGGTGCCAATGTGGGGTGTCCAATCGGTAGGTGGGCTAAGTTCATATCTGGAGACAGCGTCTATGTCCTGGAACGGGGCTATTTGTGCCCTAGAGAGGGCCAGGCTGGTGTTGGGCGCATTGTGGGGGGGAAGGGGGGAGAAAGTCATGCCCTCTAACGGGCGGTACCTGTGGGCCTAGTGGCCTCCTGGCGTCCCCCTCTAGTGCGTTGCGGCAGCGCCGGTCTTGGGTAGGGGTTTCTTGCGGCGGAGTAGATGTCCAGTGGGTCAGGCCATCTCATGTTGATGGCGGGCAGTTGGAGCTCCGTGCCCAGGGCTATATAGTCGCTGTGTGTGCGGACCAGGAATGGACCCCTCGGCGTGTGGACGAGCAGTCCCGTGGGCATCTGCCATCTGTACCGGATCTGTTGGGCCACCAGGACCCTCGTGAGTGGTTTCAGAGCGCGTCGGTAGGTCAGGGTAGCCGGCGATAAATCTGGAAAGAGTTGCAGGTCTTGGTTCCGGTAGGTGAGCGATTGCCGGCCTCGTGCTTGTTTAAAGATAGTCTCCTTTAAGGCAAAATTCGCTAGGCAGCATATGACATCCCTGGGTGGGCTATCTGGCGCGCCCTTAGGACGGAGGGCTCTATGAGCTCTTACAAATTCTATGGGTGCCTGGTGGTCTCGGCCTAGGATCTCATTTAATATTTCAAGGAGGATTTCTTGTAGCTGCTGGGGGCAGTCCTCAGTTTCAGGGAGGCCGCGCAGTCTTAAGTTATTGCGGCGCCCCCTGTTGTCCATGTCCTCAATATGTAGGGCCATGCCATGTACCTGTTCCGAGGAGGTGTCTGCAGCCTCTGCTAATGTATGCTGCGCTTCCCTCAGGCTGTCACAGGTTGCCTCCATGTGGCCCACGCGGTCTGACAGGCCCTGCATGTCAGCCCTCAGTGCCTGGAGGAGTTCTATTTTAGACTAGGGATGCCTAAGGGTGTTCTGAGTGACCAGCTATTCGGCTGTGGGTCATGTTCGATAAGATCCGCTGAAGGTGAGCTCTCAGTGAATGTGATTACCCCTAACCAAGAAGGTTGATGGGGGGGAAAGAGTGTGACACAACAGTTGCGTTTAGCTAGGGGATTAGGTGATTGACTCTCCTCTGCCTGTGTGTCTATGTAACCAGACTATTTTTCCCGGTCCCAAGAAGCAGCTCAGACGCCTTAAAGCCATTTGAAAAAAATAAAACAAATAAAAACAGAACCGTCGCAAAATAAGTAAATGAAAGACAACATGTCAAAACTAGCATAAGTGCGTTAGTCCTCATTAAAGGAGATTGATTTTAGCGGGTGGTAATAGTGTACTAAGTGTTAAGTCATTGAGTCCTGTACCATAGAAGGTATGAAAGGTCGGACGTTCGGGACGTCCCACCGGTGCCCTTGTGGAGGCTTCTGGGTCTCGTGTGTGGTATCCGCAATGCCGAGTGCTGTCAGGAACTTGGAGGCATCGTCGGGCGATGTGATCTTGTGGTATTTCCTCGCTGCCTGCACTGTTAAGGCCCTTGGAATTGACCACCGGTATGGGATGCTTGCATGTTGAAATCTCCAGGTTATAGGCCGCATAGTATGGCGCCACTGCAGGGTAAACCAGGTAAGATCTTGGTAAAAGTTAGTTGTTTTATCCCTCAGAGCGCACATGACTCTCTGCTTGTCGGCGAAGGATTGGAATCTCACTATACTATCTCTGGGGGAGGCCTTGGATGATGGAGCGTGGTTTAGTCGATATACGTAGGAATTAGATTTTCGGGCCTGGAGCTCTGAGTAATGGCGTCTGCTCCGCTTGGCCCCGCCCCCTTGGGGTATAATTTTAACTAGAAGTTTTAGTCAAATTATGGTAATTTTTTTAGATTTGGACATTTTTATTGAAGAAAATAAAATCAAAACTAGTACGCACTTTAAAAAGGTCAATGTAAATAGTTTTATATACACCACCAGCTGCCATTTCGCACCTTAGCTCAAAGCAACCCCAAAAGCACAGAAGAGACTAAATTTATTGAACAGGCAGATAAACTAAACAGTAGCTTACTAGAAAAAGGTTATAAGAAAGAAGACCTATCTAATGATTTAAACCAAGTTTTAAAAATAAAAAGAGAAGATAAAAATATAAATAAAACCAAATCAGATATGGGAAGCGATATGCCCACCATTTGTAATTATAGCCATGACAACCAACAGCTTAGGAAAATTATTAATAAACACTGGCCCATTTTAAAGAAAGACCCATTTTATCCAACATTTTGTCAGACAAACCAAGAGAGATTTTTAGAGGAGCACCTAACATGAAACAGATACTAGTAAAAATACTAGGGCTACATAAACAAAGTGATTTAATGCCTAAATGGCAATTGAGAATTGAGCAGTGAGACTGTAGGGGCATGATCTATACACCGACACTGCTTCATTAAGCTAAAGTTGTTTTGTGAAGAATTCACTATCAAGAATCTCATCACCTGCCATTCAACAAATGTAATTTATTTATTGGAGTGCCCGTGCAGCTTAAAATATGTGGGCCGCACAAAACAAAACTTACACACGAGGGTGGAAGAACACGTAAGAAATATCAAAAGAGGCCATGAAGACCACAGTGTGTGACACCATTTTAAAATGCAACACAATAGCAACCCTAATAGTCTCCATTTGTTAGGCATTCATAACGTTTTGGGAAATTGGAGAGGAGGAGATTTTAACACAATTTTAAGTCAAAACAAGATGAAGTGGATATTCAACCTTGGGAATTTACAACCCCAAGGTTTAAATATCGATTTTGAACTATGCCATTTCCTTTACTCTCATTCCGAATCTGGACCCACTGTTCTGTACTGCAGTTTTTATAGTTCTAACCAATCTTTTTTTACAAATTTTTGGTGTTATGGTGTTATATATATTTTTTCTAAACCATGTTTTTAACCCTTTTAAAAAAACATTTCTTTTGATTGTTCTATTTTTAAAATAATTGTCTCTTCTTGATTTCTACTACAAGTGTTCTCTAATATTTAAGATTTTACTACATATGTGTATAATTAAATTGTTTTTTACAACATATGTACTGAATATAACCCTCTGTTCCCTTTCCCTTTCTCCTCCCCTTTCTTTCTCTTCCCTCTCCCCTACTATATGGGAATTGTCCTTTGCCCAATCCCAAAATGGAATCATTTGGGTATTAAGTGCACCCTCTCCCTCACTCTTGCCCACTTCCAATGTGGCGGACATGACGGGGTTGACACTGGAAGGGTTTGGGATGAAGCACAATATATTGTGGCGTCATAACGGCCACCCTCCAGCGCTAACCGAGACCTGGCTTGGTAAGGAGTTATCCTTGATGTGGGGAGGAGTTGCATCACTTCGCGATGTCACTTCCGCCAGCCGCATAGAAGATACAGCAGTCTTACAAGCAGTACCCCTGGCCACCAATTATACTAATTATAAACAGGCTATGTCGGTGCGCCTTCCGGGGTTGGAGGCCGGATATGTCAAGCGGTATTACGCGCAACGTCGCTTCTGCCAGCCGTAAGTGACGCGTTAAGACGAACACCACAAATTATATAGTGTCAAGGTTAAACTCCCCAACACGCAAACCAGTGAACAACAAAGGCAAGCACAGGCAGACGTATTACCGGACCTTAAAGTGGCCAGACCTAACGTAAGGAATAAAGAGATAAGAATAGTCAGACAAGCTAAGGTCAGGGTTAGAGAGGTAAGAACAAGAGATAAACAAAGCCAAGGGTCAAGGGAGCCAGAAACTAGAATATCCAAGAACAAGGCGAAGTCAGGAACCAAAGAAAGACAAGTATCCAGAACGCGCTCTCGGGCTACAATAAACCACGACAGGGCAAGGAAGTGATGTCAGAAGGAGGTTAATATAGGGTAAGGTGTATTCTGATAGGTAGGGACAGAATGAGGCAGGATATAAATAGATAGTAGTAATAGGCTACTATCACTTTAAGGATGCTAGGTGTAACGTTTACCCTTGTCGGCTACCATGTGTGCCCACGCACGTTCCCGGATGCGTTCCCAGAAGCGCGCGTGCACCTGAGCGCACACGTGCGATGCCGGCCGGAGGTCCACACCACCCGGGAGGAGAGGATGGACGGCGGGACCAGGACGGCGCGGGACACGAGGTATGACAGAACCCCCCCTGAAGGAACGCCTACTGGAGGAACACCAGAAGGGCGAGAAGGAAACTTACCATGGAACGCTCGAAGAAGACGGGACGCATGGACTTCAGAATCAGGAACCCACGAGCGTTCTTCGGGCCCATAACCACTCCAATGAACCAGGTACTGAAGTGACCCACAGGATACACGGGAGTCGACAACGTGTTGGATCTCGAACTCCTCCTGACCACGCACCAAAACAGGAGGAGGACGAGACTGGGAACGGGAATGAGTATTGCAAACAAGCGGTTTCAGGAGGGACGTATGGAAGACGTTGGGCATACGGAGGTTCTTGGGCAAATCCAAGGCATAGGAGACAGGATTGACCCGCCGCCAAACCTTGTAAGGTCCGATATACTTAGGAGCCAATTTCATAGAAGGAACGTGTAAACGGATATTGCGCATGGATAACCAGACTCTATCACCCGCAACATAAGAAGGTGCTGCCCTACGGTGCCTATCAGCAAATGCTTTTTGAGTAAGTACAGTCTTCTCCAAGATGGCATGAACCGTTCTCCAAGTGTCTTGTATGGTGGACAAGTGTTCATCTAGAACCGGCATTCCCTTGTAAGAGAACGAAGCCGGGAGCAGATTCAGATGACGACCATACGTGACAAAGAAGGGACTGTGATCAGAAGCAGAGTGCTTAGCGTTATTCCTGGCGAATTCAGCCCAAGGAAGAAGGTCAGCCCAGTTGTCCTGGAGTTGAGACGTAAAACAACGGAGAGATTGCTCAAGGCTTTGATTAGTTCTTTCAGCAGCACCATTAGTTTGTGGATGATAGGCTGAGGAGAAGGCGAGTTCAATACCCATGTCTTTGCAAAAGCCCTTCCAAAACTTCGAGATAAATTGTGAATCCCTATCTGACACAATGACATCAGGCATCCCGTGTAGGCATATTAATTCCTTGGTAAATATGTTGGCTAATTCAGCTGCAAAGGGCAGCTTTTTTAATGGAATGAAGTGCGCCATTTTAGAGAAGCGATCAACCACAACCAAAATAACCATAAAACCCTTTGATTCTGGCAGCTCGACAATAGAGATGTCCATATCCGATTTCCGGTCCATCCCCTATACGTCATCATTGAGTAAACTTTTACCCGGAACCTCACAGCCAGCAGACATGTTCCACCCAATCAGCACCAGACGCTCCCTCCCAGGAAGTGTCTGCTGACTGTGAGGTTCCGGGTCAAAGTTTACTCAATGATGACGTATAGGGGACGGACCGGAAATCGGATATGTTCGCCCAACGCGAACACGCTATTGTTCGCCGGTGGACAGTTCGCGACATCTCTACTCAACAATAAAATCCATAAACAGTTGAGACCATGGAACTGACGGCAAAGGAAGAGGATGCTTGCAGAAGACCACATGGTACTCGATTGGATGATTTAGATTGAGAACAGACATTACAAGATGATACATAAGCTTCGACTTCCTTTTTAAGAGATGGCCACCAATATTGTCGTGTGATCAAATCAATGGTCTTCGATACCCCCATATGTCCAGCCATTTTACTACCATGTTAATGGCTGAACACTTCCCCTCTCAACTTGGGAGGAACATATTTCTCAACAGGTTTATCACTGGGTGCCCTATCTTGAACCTTGTGAATTTTGTGCAGAAGAGGGGAAGAAACCTTGGTTCTAGTCAAAGCAATAATTCTCTCTTGGGGTATGATGGGTTCTGTCATGACCTCTTCCTTATCAAGAGTGGCAAATTGTCTGGAAAGTGAGTCTGCTTCAGTGTTACGATTACCAGGTCTATATGAGATCAGATAGTTGAAGCGGGAAAGGAAAAGAGCCCAGCATGCTTGTCTGTAAGAAAGCCTTTTAGCGTCACTCAAATTGGACAGATTCTTGTGATCAGTGATAATTATGATAGGAACGGGAGATCCTTCAAGTAAGTGATGCCATTCCTTGAGAGCTAGTATTATGGATAATAATTCTCTATTACCTATATCATAATTCTTTTCTGCAGGTGTCAGCTTACGAGAAAAGAATCCACAAGGGATGCCCTCTGGGAAAGGACAGCTCCCACACCGGTCTCTGAGGCATTGTCACTACCCTCCTTAGTTAATATGCCCTCGTGCAGTACTCACACTCACCACTGTTTTGGTTTGGCACTACACCTGGCCCTTGTTTATCACCTATATATTCTGGTTTCTCCCCTCACTCATTATTATTATCCTTCATCCTTTATCCTGTACCTGCTGTTTCCTGGTTCCCGTGATTCTGATTCCTTGCTCCTGTGTCTTGTATCCTGTGTATCCTGATCCTGTGTTCCTGTTCCGATGTCCTTATGGTCCTGCGTTCTCGTCTCTGCCTAGTCCTGTGTCTCCCATTCCAGTGTTTGCTTGCAGTGTTCCTGCCTATACTTCATTTCCAGTGATTCTGACCTCGCTGCCTTATTTACGTGTGACCTGCTTTGGGCTTTGCTCCTTGGTGTTTTTTAGTTAGTGCTTGGTGGCTTAGGATCCGTGTCCCACTTATATTCGGTGGTGGCTGCATGATCCTGCCTAAGGCCTTTACTTTTGCTTAAGGACTATCAAGTGTACTCTGCCTGCTCTATTTGTATTTATATTGATTTCTTGTGTATATGTATATATATATATTTGTGGCATTATACATCTTTTGTTTTTGTATATTATATCCTTTGGCTTTCTTTAATACATATTTTCTTGATTGCTCCATTCATTGTGTCCTTGCATTATTTCTCTGCTAAGTTGGTTCCCACATTTAAAGGGACAGTGCTGTCGCAGGGCAGCACCCCTTCATGTCCTTACAGGCATCAACTTCAAGGATGAAGGGTCTTGAGGGGTCTGGATGCACGGGATGGGGGCTGAAGCAAAAGCTTCTTCAGGCGAGTGAAGGAAGCCTTCGCTTCCATAGACCAATTGACATGATTAGCTCCCTTTTTTGTCATAGCAGTGATAGGAGCTATTATCTGGGAAAAGCCCTTAATAAACCGTCTATAATAATTAGCGAACCCAATGAATCTCTGTATGGACTTCAATCCAATGGGTAGAGGCCGTCCAAGAATAGATGATAGCTTTTTAGGGTCCATTTGAAAGCCATCAGCAGAAATTATGTACCCTAAAAACTGAATAGAAGTTTGATCGAATAGACATTTCTCGAGTTTGCAATATAAGCCAGTAGCAAGAAGAGTTTGTAAAATATTTCTGACTTGTTGGTGATGAGTCTGAACATCAGGAGAATGAATGAGTATATCATCAAGATACACAATAGAGCAAGTGTGCAAATAATCTCTTAAAACATAATTGATTAGATCTTGGAAGACAGCAGGAGCCTTACACAGACCGAAGGGCATTACAGTGTATTCATAATGACCACTTTGAGTATTAAATGCTGTCATCCATTCGTTTTCATCTTTGATGTGAACGAGATTGTAAGCTCCTCTAAGGTCTAATTTGGTAAAGACTTTAGAACCACAAAGCCTGTCAAAGAGCTCTGTTATCAATGGTATAGGATACGCATTCTTCTGAGTAATTTTTATTCAAACCCCTATAATCTATGCAAGGGCGTAAATCCCTCTCCTTTTTGGAAACAAAAAAGAAACCAGCCCCTGCAGGGGAAGAGGAATGTCTGATAAACCCTACTTAGGGATTCTTGTATGTATTCCTCCATAACCTTATTTTCAATCTGAGAAAGAGGGTAAACTCTCCCAGGCCCGGACTGGCCATCGGGCACACCGGGCAAATGCCCGGTGGGCCGCGATGTCCATGGGCCGAGGCCGGCAGGGGAGATCCCAGGATCTCCCCTGCCGGTCTATGCAGGGCCGGCACTATCCGAGCGCCGGCCCCGCTATGTTCCATGAAGGGCCGGTGGGGAGATCAAAGATCTCCCTCACCGGCCCACATGTGCTCAAACGCGGCCGCCGGCGGGGAGAGAGGGAGGGAGACAGCCGCCAGGAGAGAGGACCCGGCGGAGCTCTAACTTGCAGCTCCGCCGGGTTTCTCTCGTGAGATCCGGACCGTTGCTATGGCAACCGGCCGGGTCTCGCGAGAGTGAACTCTAGCCCCAAAGGGCTAGAGTTCACTTACCACGAGGACCACCAGGGATGGCTGGCAGGAGAACGACCCCCCCCCCACCCTTCCAGACTACAGGTAAGAATGGAGGGGGGGTGATATAATGTATTTACTATTATGTATTTATTATTTATTATTATTATTTATTATTATGTATTTATTAGTATGTATTATTATGTATTTATTATTATTTGTATTTATTATTATTTATTATTATGTATTTATTATTATTTGTATTTATTATTAATTATTATTATTTATTATTATGTATTTATTAGTATGTATTATTATGTATTTATTATTATGTATGTATTATTATTGTTTTAGTAAAACACCTACCTGCCTCCCCCCAATACAAAATCCTTGCAAACACACACATCACCCTCACCCAGCACCCTAACACATACACAGCACCCTAACACACACACACAGCACCCTAACACCAGCACCCTAACATTGACACAGCACCCTAACATACACACAGCACCCTAACACTCACACAGCACCCTAACACCAGCACCCTAACATTGACACAGCACCCTAACACACACACAGCACCGTAGCACTCACACAGCACCC